TGTAAATTTTACTCCAATAAATAATAGTCTGTCGTTTCGGATACAAAATTTTATTATGAATCAAAATTATGAACTGTACAAAAATAAATATAAAATAATACAATTGGAATGATTTGCTAAAATTATAATTATGGATATATTTGATTTATTTTATTATTATAATAAAATGTTATAAGAAATTATTTTTGGACAAATTACAGTATTCATTTGGAATTGCTAGATAAGATAAAAGTGTATTCACTACATTTTTTATTTTTTTGTTAGAAATTATAAACGATAGAAATCTAAAAATCTGCGTGATTCCAAGAAGGGTAGATCAAAGACAGAGTGATGTATTGTGTAATAAAAAAGTTGCAAAATTTAAAGATTAAAATCACAATGGGCATGAAACTACAGTTTCTCTGCTGTAATTTTGACATTATATAATAAGAGTGTGACTAGCGTAGCTTGTCATTTATGCTGTCATAATACAGCAGATGTTTTTGGTATAATACAAAGACTAAAATTTTCATAATTTTTTATGTTTTTTGGTTTAATTAAATTTTCAATCAAAGTTTGAGTGTTGCTAAAAAAACTATCAGTTTTTTTCTATAAGAAAAATAAAAAATTCTTGAAAAAATTTCAAGACGATTTTTTTCTATATGTAATCTGGTCTATTATCAATCTTATCAGGGGAGCAGGTGGTCCATTTTCTAATTTATCTTCTACTTTTTTGGAGTATCGAGATTTTCTTTTAATGAACCTGGTCTCGTTCATCATTACCTTCTGTTTCGATAAAAATAAAATAAAATAGATTTCAGTATATTTTTTCCACTGAAAAATAATTTTCAAAAATATATTTTAGAGCGCATAATACTTTCAAAAATTGGTGTGTTCGACGTTTCAACGCTTGAATATTATAAATTAAGACAGATCTGCACCAATAACTTTTCACGTTTACTACTCAATTGCTAGTTAAAAAGTAATCTTCTCCATAAACATAAAAAGGACCTTTAGACTCCAAGCTCTTTTTACGACACGAGTAACAGTTCAGTAATACAGAGTGTAAAAATACATGGAATAAAATGAACGCTATGTAAAAAAGATTGTGTAACAAAAAAATAGTCAAATTATTTGTTGGCATAAAAACAATTATGATTCTGATACAAATTCAATTGAACTTGTAGTTTTATAATTGATGATAATACGCATAAAATGTTGCCATTGTTTCATACTATTTGAAATTAATTTCTAACGCATCATCTATTGAAATTTAATTAAATATAAATCAATTCCAAACTTGCTACATAATGCGGTTATTGCTAAAGAAAGTATTTTAATATCCGTCAAGGCAATCGTTCTACGTGCTTCCAAATTTCCTATTGCTCTAAATATTGTCGATAAACTAATTATTAATTAATTGTTTGATAATTATAACATTTTGTTTGTCATAATAGCAATTATTTTACATTTCACTGAATTTTGTATGCTGAAGAGAAAAGCATGAAATATTGTGAGCATTTACAAAGGTATTGAACTTGAAACTTTAAAAAGAAATTCACTCATATGCTTTCTACTTTTGCTTGGATCAATAAGAAATAATCTTATAAATATGCATCTCACTAAATTCAATGGTTTAGTTTTTCCATAAAATAGATCACTAGATTTATTTGCCATTTACACCATGCCATTTTACGATTATTGTCAATCACTATATTTAAACATAAAAAAGCTTTGCTGTCATTATAAATCATGTGATATGTGTCTTTCTTGATCAAACAACAGCCATGGTATTTTATGGTGCTATTAAATTAATTGAGATTAAAGCACGTCATTGTAAAAAATTAATCATAATCTTTTATAGATTTCTAATAGATCTGCTATAATTTTTATTAACTGCAAGCAGAATATATATGGTATATATTTTAAAGTAAAAATAGGTCAATTTTTTAAATTATAAAAGCAAAGCTTATTACTGCAGAAATGGTCAATTCATTAATACATATGATAGATCCTTATCATCGAACACAGTAGTAAGCTATGTCGATGAATTATCCTCAATGTCGATTATCTTTCATTCATTCCGTGTCCGCAATTTAGTTTCCGACACTTCGACATCCCTATTATGGTATGAATACTAACAGTTACATTCGGTGAGCTGTAATGGGTATTTCGGGCTTCAACGATCTTATCACCTGTGACATTTATAATATTAAAACATAGAATATAGAGCGTAAAATTTTTTTAGGAAAATATTGAAAGTTATTTATGATCCATGTTTCATATAAAAAGCACATGGTTAAAATGTACATCACTTTTTGAATTACAAATTTAAGATTAATATTATTATAGCATATTATAAAAAGTACTAATTTTCATTTTGTAACTTTACTATAATTCGAATTTCAACATTGTTTGTAGAAAACAAGCTCAACAATATTAAATTAATGAGATGTTTAAAACTAAGACGGATCAGATCTACAAAAATGGAAACTTTGTGGAGTGCAACCTTGTAGAAATAAATACTAAAGAGGAATAAATCTGTGGTAAACTGAATTTTCAAATATTTTGGACTCAATTTACCGTTTAGTTTTGAACACTTCATATCGTGGTAGTTAGTAACTATGAAAATTAACTCGAAAAGTTTTTCTGTCTAATTATAAACCATTGCAGTTGATGTTTGCATTTCAAATCGCATTGGGATCAGTATGTTATAACAAAAGCAATACTACTTCTCTTTATGATCATTTATCATATTTATATAAGTAATACAATAAGAAGAATTAAAATTCATCTCATTAATTTAATAATTGATTTACTTAGTTCAATAAAAAAACCGAGAATTCTAATCAGAAGAATAATCCTCTCCTTCAATTTAAAAGAATTTTTATAATTTTTTCTCAGTAAAAATGTCATCATAATATGATGACATCAATTTTACCTTCAAGTTGTTTTTAATCTTTTTTTTGGAAATGATCAGCATGACAATTATTCTGAAAAGCTTCTATAAACCATGGCTCAATTCTTTTTCAAACTACCAAATCACAGAATTTTAGCATTGTGACCCTTTGTCAAGAAATCATCAACGGATAAACTAGAAGTGTTCTTGTAGAAAAATTAAAGTAACCATTTTTTTCTTGAGTTGATGATAAAAAACCAACAATAACTCATTCATTCTTTCTTATTTTTCTTCTTACTCCCTTTCAGATTTTCCAATTTAAATCTTGAAACAATTTTTCATCTAAATTCTAGTACTTTAAATTTTTTTGACACAAGAAATGTTCATGGTTATCAAAATGGCATAAAAAGTCCTTTGATTCCAAAGCTAAAATATTTCTCTGCAAGTAGTAGTTTCCAATTGTGTTAAATGATACAACCGCATCAGACTGATAAATAGACACCATAAGCTTCCTATAAGTTATCCATACTTAAGGTGAACCCCTAAAAATATTAATGTGCATGAAAGAGTTTGAAAACGATAGGATTTTATTGAAAATAGACGATAAATTACTCATTCTCGAGGGATCTTAACGTGACCTGAATCAAATGGAGGCTGTTACATACTCACCGAACGATTGCTTTGCCGCAAGCTAAAGGTGGTTGAACAGAGTAGAATATGTATAACATTGGTTAGAAGAGAGAAAGTAACGTATATTTAACCATAGTGGTCTTGTTCTCCCAACCATGTCTCGTTTAAAGTTTTACTATAACACAAATACAAATCTCAGGTTATGTTATGTTATAAATTGTATGTATGTGTAGAGGGTATGTAGATTCAACTATATATTGAACTATGTTATGCAAATGCTAGATGTACATATAAAATAATAAAGAAAAAATGTAAAATATTTTAGCACTTACCACTTTCATCGTAACCCCAAATCTATCCAAGCTTAACTTGCTTTTAATGAATATTGGAAGAGATGACTTTCAAGTTAATACTCCAGGAAAACTTCATTTAACAGATACATCTTACTTTAATCATCCGTTTTTCCCTTTTTTCAACTTTAATATAAATATACACTAGCACTTTGCATGTATATGAAAAAAAAATAAAATTGTATTTTCCATGTAAGTTTAATTATAAAACTTTCATTTGCTTGACAAATAAAAAAGTCGTTGGCTGAATGAAAAAAAAAAATTTACCAAATCATTGTTTTTTGAGATGATGGTATAAAACAGCTAACTGAATATTTAAAAGTAATAATTGTTTTTCTATGTGCTTATTTTTGTTTTTTTGATATTCGATTAAAAATTTATAAAATAATTGTTCCATAAAAGAGATATTATTAGCAATAAAATAACTTTAACACGATTGGTAAACAGACTAGTGATGTTGTCCTCTTGTATTTTTGAAAATTCCTGAAACAAAATTGTAAAACAACAAAGTATTTATTATTTGTACAGTGAATAGTGCGAATTTATTCATCGTTTTAAACTATAATAGACACTAAAAATTTCTGTATTCATAGTATAACCGCAATTTCATAAAAAGCTTACATAAAAATAAATGAAAAGGTTATAGTTTACTGAATAATTGAAGGAAATGAGACATTTATTGGATGAACTATTTTAATAGCTAACTTACAGCAAACGAAAAGCGTCACGGAAATGTTGAGTAATTTGTAGGTATTTATTGAATATGAATAAAGCTCGTGTTTACGCGTCAAAACAGGGAAGTGGTGGTGGATGTAGTCATGTTGTTAGAGGTGCTAGTTGTACCGTGGTGGTTGGTTTAGTGGTAGCAAGACTAGTAGTACCAGAGGCAACAGAAACCGGCAAAGATGTGAGATAGAGATAGTAAAAATGGTAGCCAGAACGGCGAAAACAGAAGCAGCATCAGCAAGCAGCAGACTCGAGCAGGGTCTCGTGTCGATGGACCTGGGGGTTGAGATGCTCGATGCGCATGCTCGGTTACGATCGGATATACTCGGTTATGCTCGAGAATCTCTACGGGGGCAGAGGCCTCTCAGCGACTGCTTGCCCCTAATTGCGGAGCACACACGCGTTGGATCCTTCGTTGGATGAGGTTGCGTGTTGAGTTTTATTCATTGTAAGTGATCGAAATGTTTCGCGTTTTGTGTCACCGGAATGACATTTCGTGAATTTTTTATCATCATTATTTGTGAACGACATCCATATTAAATACAGGGTAAATGACAGTTGAATAGTCTTCTGTCTCAAGTGGTTGAATTTTAGTTGTATTTATTTTTCGCGCCGGTTTTCAAATATTCAACATAATTGGATTAAAATAAAATGAGCAGTTATCAAGTGCAAGTGTGATTTGCATTAGAAAACACTAGGATTAAGTGTTTAAAAGTTGACATTAAGTGAATAAATGATAACTGTTTAATTGATCATTCGAATGTTTTAACAATCAACGTTACATAGCGTATTGGATTGTGATTCGAAGAAGAGACTGATTTTAGTTTCTCTTTAGTACACAAATGTTTTATGATTAAGTAATGTTAGTAATGATATAAGTGCTCAGTAAATAGTGCATTTTTTAAGTGGATTTTTCTTCCCTTAAATTCATTGTTGTCCGAGAGAATCAATCAGCTTCCAAGAACGGGCAAGTTTGTATAAGAGAACAAAAGAGGTCACTGGCGCGGTAGCGCAGTTGTTTATCTCATGCAGAGGTTTTATTTGTCATTCGCGAGATCAACTAGAGGGGAATAAACTTTAGACAGGTGAATTTGGCTGTTGTTCAATGGACCTGGACACGATACAATTAATCAACATAGTAGTTCAAGTGTTTTACACATAAATGCATAAATTTACAAGACTTAAATTTTCACTAACGAATTGGTCTCTTTCTATACAAAATGAAAATGCTTGAGAGTGTATTCATGACTGTGTAAATACACCAGTTTAATAAAACGACTTGGATTATAGTGGTTTCAAGTGGTGAAAGACAAGGGAAATAGAAAAGAGAATGCTTCTAGGATTAGTTTGTTCAAATTTTATTATTAAATTTGATTTTATTATTCCAATTTATCCTAATGGAATGAACATTATTTGAATATTAAAAAAACTGACGCCAAATCCAGTCGTAAATAATATGTTTATGAGATGATATATGCTAAAAGTTTATTCTAGAAGCACTTTCATCTACTAAGGGTGAATTGTCTCATGAAAGTTAGCTATAAATATATCATAATAAATGACACTAATTCATCCTATAATTACATTTCAAATACACCTGAGTTCGTGAAATTAAGTGGACAAGTGTACAGTTAAACTATAAAAAGTGTAAAAAATTTTAAACTTGTGTGTTTCAATGCATTGTGTAGTTTAAAAGATTATTTTTTAAGTTAATGTATTTCTAATAAACTTATTGATGGAAATGATCGAATCAACGATGAAACAACAAATGTCTGTTGGTTGCGGTAAAACCAAGGATCACGTTATGATGTTCCTGATTATCTTTATTGGTGTTTGGATTTCATCGGAAGTTAAAGGTAAGCAATTTGGATTATAAAATATTGTTTCGGAGCATAAGTTTAGAAGCAAAAAGAAACAAACGAAACATCGTGATAGAATAAATGAAATTACGAAGAAATGTGTCGAGCATATTTTTCTCAGAATTGAATTGATTTGTGTCAAAACTGTTTCAACTTAAATTTGGTCGAAAAGATAAAAAAAAAAGAGCTTGTATTAGATCATGATACTTTTGTTGTGTAAAAGTATTATTTGAAAAATTTAAAAACAAATCGATAAAGTAGCGAATAAAAGGAATAGAATAGAGTAAAGTAGCTAAATAATATTTTCTCTATATTCAAGGAAAAATACCTTTTGCTTTGTCATGATATTTCCTTTCTTTATGTTTTGATTTTTTTATTTTTCTCTTCACCTTCTAAAGAATACCAATTATTTAGCCGTATTGTATAAATTTATGCATTGCTGTATGGATAAAATAAAAAGCAAAAATTGTGCAACGCTGTAAGGTGTTGACATATTTGAATAAAGAGGAAATATAATCATATCTAAAAGTCATTCTGAAAATGAATTGGTATTTTCCGGTGTTTTATAAATTTGATTTTAAAATATGATGTTTTATTGCGATAATATTTTTTTGATGATAAAAGTCTATCGAATAGAGGGATAATCTGTATTCCTATGTATACACACAATTTATTAACTCAGTTATATAAAATCAACATGTCATTATACGTTTGTTCACAAGTAAAATCTGTTTGTGTAATTACTAGAGGAAATGAAAATGAAGATAATTAATTGAACTCAGGATTATATTTTAACAGTATTTATTTCTTTTCAATTTGTTAATCATAAAATTCTATTATTGAATCCGATTTACTCCGAAAACTTGTCTTGCTAACTGAATCTATTTTATCAGTTTAAAACTTTTTGAAATTTTATCCTTAATAAAAAATCAATATCATACATTTTTGATTAACATCTTTCTGTTTATTTCTACATAAATAACTAAGCCATCTTATAAATTATCTTCAAAGTATATAAAAAAAAAATTTTATTGATAAAAAATTGATTGATTTATTATCAAAACCGTTGATTGAAAATACCAATCATCAGCCTGTCATTTATTTTTTTTAAACCTCGGCTGAGTTGCACGTCAATGTATGTTCGGTTTTTTATTGTTGCAAGATTACTGCAATCGATGCTGAAGCTAAAGATTAGCTGATGCAGTAGTTTTACTACTAAATTTGAAAAATATACGGCTCTCATCTTACCTGTAAATGCTTATTTTCTGCTCAATAAATTTAACAGATTTTTTTTGACATTACATTAACTAATGTGGCAAATTTAATATTTTTCTTCAGAAATAAAGTTAACGACCTTACTATAAATCAGTATTTTTTTCTAATGACATTAATTAACCTTGAAGAAGATAATGATAAAGTCTGTTAAGAAGACTTGATATTACTTTTCAATGTAACATAACATTAATTGTCAGTGATATTCTGTGTAATTCTTTGCACTTTGAAATCTTGATTCGATAGGTTTTATAACGACGTTTAACATCAGATTAATTGTTTGAAAACTCGTACGACTTGTGTATGTGGACTAATTCTCCATGTTAACATACATGAAAGCCTATCTCACCTGCCAGTTGCTTAACTGGTTCAATAATTAAATTCTGAGCATCTATTAAAAAGCTCGAAAATGAATACATGTCCGATTAAATTAAGATAACATATTCATGTAATGATAAATATGGATGTTTTCGACAACATATACTTAAAATATTATTTTCAATGCATTCTCATTGCAAAATATTGAAATTCAATGCAAATAATGCTTACGGAGATTTATTGATAGTTGGTGAAATTTTAGTCAATAATTGATTTTAGATTCAAATGCATTTTGATGATCAACTTTCTGATTAATTATTTTTAACAAAAATACAACGATAAGAGCGTAATTAATGTATTCTTTGAGGACAATAATACCTGTTACACGCTAATGTTTCTATTAATTAATTGAAATCCTAGCAGGATTGTCAGATCGTAAGACACACCACAAGTTTAATGTTCTAGTGTTACCGTTGTGGTACCTCAAGTAGATTGTAAAACCAAAGTTTAATTATTTCAAAGTTTACCCAAATATTTATGTAGATCACTTGAGACTAGGCTGTTCAGATTTATATTCCTACAACCATTATTATCTACCATGTAGTACATACATCTACTGTAAAATCGAATACATATAATTGGATTCACGTTGCTGCACCTGGTCTCAATCTAGTGTTCATGAATATACACAATCAAAGCAATAGGACCAGTTATCATATGTCTTGAAAGTATTTGTCATTTTATCTCATTCTGAAACAATTAGTGTTAAGTAACATAATTTAGTCGGTTAATTTATTTAATAAATTCCACGAAATTGTCATACTCGACAACTCTTTGTGAAGGGATACTTGATAAAATTAAATAGTTCATACGATGCGCATCACACTGACTGAGTAGATTTGCACATCAGGGACTTACTATTTGTCACTATATTCTCATAGGGAAATAGTCTATTTTCGCGTTTTTACTTGATAAAGTTTATTAAACAATTTTCGTTACTTCAATTTTTAAGAATTGTTTGGATTGTATGATAAAATTCCGATGTTTAAATTGATTTTTTATTTAATAAAAAATTTATCTGAATGTACTTTATTATTGTTAAATTATCTTCGATTACCAAAAGTTATAGAAATTTAATTTTCATTAAATACGATTTATTTCAATATAACTTTAATAATAATAGTTTATTGATATTTTAGTAATAATTGTGATATTCATCAGCTGAAGCAAAATAAAATGTTTTTAAATCTAACTTTGATATATTCCAAATAACACGTTTTGTTACAGAAATTTATAATGCCAATCAATTGACAACAATATTGTCAATATTTAAAATTAATACATCTCTTGTATGCGTAAATTCATTTATATTTACTTATAGAGTAAAAATCATGAATACAGGATTTGATTGTGATGCATGTATAAATCAGACAGCTTGAAAGATATTTTTTCTTCTTTTTTAGTTTTTCACAGAAGCATTTTTCACTTGATTTTGTTGCGAAACGTGAAGGTGGACGGTATGCAGTTACTGGGTGGTAGGTATAACGGGCGTATGACGTTGAATACGAAAGTGCTACTCTACTTGCGACTGTCGCAGGGGGTGAATGCACTTGTCCACGTTTTCCGAGTGTGCACGCCAGATATCGTTCGACCGAAATGGATATCCGCTTCGTGACCGTATATGCTCTGCAGCCAGATATATTTCTCTTGACGCGTGGTTTCACCAAACCTACCTGTGTCAGATCGTTGACAATTGTTTTTCCTATTTGACTATTTTTATTCCTATTTGAATTTTTTTGTTTTTGAAGTTTTGATGCTTTTGTTTGACTCGGATATAACTAAATAAATGTTGAATACGTTTACGCAAGACCACATCAGTAGTGATGAAGAGGAGTTAGTGCATTAAATGTAACTGATAGTTTTATTATGTAATAAATAAAACTTGATAATATTTTCCGAAAGAGTTAAATTTTATCTTGAAAAGAACGGCAAATATAATATATAGTAATTGTCATCAAAAGTTTGTCCTTCAAGTCAAGTGTGTTCTACAGAGGTTAAAGTTTCTTTGACTTTGTCTTCCCACGCGCACACTGTAAAGTTTGTCCTTATTCTCTATTTCACCATCTTCTTCCTTCATTTTATGTTTATTCTGTCCTTCTCTTGTCCTCTTAGCACAACAAATTAACTTCAGGCGTTGCAAGGGAGCGGCTTATTTGGTCGATGCGCAAGGAGGAATAACAACTCATAGAGGACATAGACATTCCCACTCTGCTATCCTTCTGTCTTCATTCCTTCTCTTTATCCCCCATCTCACTTCTCATCAAGCGACTCTTCGTCAGCCGGAAACCACTGGCTACCTCGTAAAGCAGGTGCCGTAATTACGGATTCCTGAATTAGTTCAATTTCAGTGACGTCTCGACGTTCATTTGTATGTTCCTCTTCTTGTTCATCACGTTCTTCCTTTGACCTCTACACACGCCAAATTATATCTCATTGTTTAATTAATATATTATGAGTATGATGGTTTTTTACAAATTTCCTCAAATAGTAATGAATTATTTCTCCCTATTGAGCTTCGTTAAAATAATTAATCTTCTGATTAAAAATTACATTGTTTTTTTTAAATTCATTTTTTCATCAATTATTCAATTCGAAACAGTTCTAGGAAAAATCTTTAATCAAACTTGATATGGTAATGTATTGTTTTAAAGTGATTTATTGAGAAGATAAAATTGTATAATACTTAAGTAAATGTTGCAAGTTGATTCACATATGAATATACAGTGCTGTAATATATAAAGAAAAAGAACAATAAAAAAACACCTTCCTCCAAAACATAAGATTGGAAAAGTAAAAAGTTTGAGGGAAACTTCTTTGGATTTTAGCCAGAGACGATTGTCAGAGAATTCACGATGTCTAGTTTCCTCTTTCCAGTGGTAAAGGAGTGTCCGAGGGGTAAAACGAGTTGTTGAAAAATAGAGTCGATAGTATAGTCTCTAGACGCAGTTATGTCGAGGAATACTTGTACATTTACGATGCTCTACCATTTCTAATCTATATCTATGTACATATACATGTGTTTATAGCCTATATACATAAAATCTATCGATGCACCATTCGAAATTTTAATTTCATTATAATAACTTTTTTAATGTTCTCCAACAAAATCATTTATTATGTCGAAAGATTTGTTAATTCATCATCGATTGCATAAAAAATGATTTGCAATTTCACGCTAGAAGCCTGAACTCAGAATCTCATTAAGACTAACTGAACGACATCACGTCGATATCGATAACAGGTGGAAAGGAAGAGATAGAGAAGAGACAAGAGACTAATATTATATGGTTGTACTGGTAGGTAAAGCAGTAGTTGTAGTAGTAGCAATATGTGCAGTGTAGGAGCGC